CGGATACCATTCACATAGATCAACGCTTGCTAATACAGCTAATGATTCAGCTGAAATATAATTTTGAAGCACCTATTGTGTGCATGGACTGTGGAGCACATTCTCGGTTCTGGTGATCGAGTGTACAGCGGCAGATACCTCCGACTACGCAGTGACCTCATCCTTGCCTTCTAGGTCTAGAAAAACCCCGGTCACGCGTGCCGCCACCTTCTGAAGCTTAGCCGCAACACAGAATTGAGGGGTCATAGCCTGAAACTTGCCATCCAATACAGTTGACTTTAAGGCAAGCAGAAGTATTTTTCCCTTCGCGTTTGTCAATCGTTGGACGCTCTTTCGACTTTTGTCATTATCGCGATCACGCTACCCATTGTTAAAATCAACTCGACTGGGCTTTACACCACCTACATTACCGGAGCTCTTTTCTATTCATTGAGTGACAACAAGGCGAAGGCAAACATTGTGCTCACCGACCTCATGAAATCGGGGCAGACGGATATACCTTTGAGTTAATGTCGGTAATATGGTAAGTCCACTTATGTGTTTTTTTACCTTTGTGCAACTTTTTTGAACTAAAGTTATTCAATATCAGTAATCAGTTCCGGGTGAAGAATTCTTTTCGGTAACTCTCATCGGACCCAAACGTTTACAAAGCACTGATAGTGTGGGGTAAGCGCCAATTGGGGCTGGGATTTACTTCTGGACTGTTTGAATGATCAAAATCGATAACTTGAGACATAGATAGTGATGGTAAACCAAGTAAACTAAATACACATACATACGCAAAGCTCAGTAGTCCAAAGTAATTAAGTAGGTAAAAGAACAGCCAAATAACTAAGTAACAGTGTCCGTTGGCCAAGGTAGTAGTATCGGCCGTATGAATCGTTTTTGTATACATATTTCCGGCTTCAGATGGTGAATGTAGATAGCCTCGGCGATGGATAAGAGCTGTTTGTGGAATCCTTTGGTGCAATGTTCAGGTAGTGAATAAATGACTTTGAAGTCATTCTCTGAAGCTGTGTGGCCACATTCAAGGAGGTGCGACATGATTGAGCTGTCTGAAAACCTCATTTCGCCTTTGTAAAACCATGCCGGGATGTGTTCACGAACCCTCTGAGATAGGCGTCTTGTCGTGCGACCCACATATCGTACACCACAGGAGCAAGAGTACTGATAAACGATCAGTGAACGGGTCAACGACGGTAGTCTATCCTTCAAGGGTTTCGTAAGCAACGGCTTGTTGTGAAAAACGATTCTCAGGCAGGCCGCGAAATAAGTTTTCTCGACAGCGTCTTTCAGGCGTCTGGATAACATATCAGCTGCAGAAGCGTCCTTAAAGTGTATATGTATGAAAAGCTCTTTCTTAGGATCAATGCTCCTAGGTGGCTTTTGATTGCGTTCCTTCAAATGTTTCATGATAAATTAATCAAGATAGCCATTTTCCCTGAAGGCGTCGCTGATTCTCTGTAGTTCTTCGTTGACGGTATCCGGTGTACAAATACTGCGCGCCCGGAAGGCGAGAGATCTGCTTAAACTCCGCTTATACTGTAGTGGTACTGCGCTGTGGAAGTTAGTGTACTGCCCAGTCCATGTGTGCTTTCTGTGTACCTTTCTGCTGCATGATCCTTCCGAGTTACGGATAACCTCCACATCCAAAAAAGGTAACCGGTTTCTGAGTTCGTGTTCACAAGTGAAATGGAGATTCTCGAGTGAGTCATTGAAAGTTTTCAGCAACTGTTCCGCATGCTTTTCGGACTTGCAAAGTACGAAGGTGTCATCAACGTACCATACGTACATTTCGGTTTCACGGATGTGCGTTGCAAGTGGGCCATGTTCCAATTTCTCCGTGAAAATATCAGCCAGCAGCGGCCCCAAAGGTGATCCCATGGCCACTCCGTCAATCTGACGATACATTTCACTATCGAGGGTGAACTGAACATTTAACGTGCAACGAAGTAGCACCTCCTTTAGCAACTTCTCCGGAAAAATTGCGTATTTGGGCAGTTGCCGAGTGAGCTCGTATACATAATCCACGGTTTCGAGCAATGGAATGTTTGTGAACAGCGACTGGGCATCGAATGATATCATTCTTTTGTTAACAAGGTTGCTTTCGGATATCCTCTCAATGAATTCGAAGGTGTCTCTCACGCAGTAAGTACAGACCAAATTCCGTAACGGCTGCAACTTCGCCACCATCCACTGGGCCAACAAATGCCGAGGAGAACCCACCATGTCCAAGATTGGGCGCATTGGGGCGCCTTCCTTGGGAACTTTAGGCAGGCCATATAATCTCGGTAGGTGTCCACCTGAAGGTTCTTCGTGATAAGCTTGGCTTACATCATTCGCCTGAGGCAGCCGGTTAGCTGTTTCTATAACTCCCCTGTGTTGTCTTTTCCTGCCATGAGCCTATGAAACTTACTCTCGTTATTCCCACAAATCGTCTTACGGGACTTGTCAAGTCTTGGCTTTTTATCCATATTATACCATGTTTTATTGTTGAGGTGCACTTCAAAGTGAACAGTGGTATATTGAATGATATGGAGTTATACTAGGCATATGAAACATGAAATTACTTCAATAATCCCAGCTAAGCATTTCGGAAGACGAAGGTTGTGTAATGCTTCTGTTATTTCGTGCACACTTCGGCCATGCACATGGAACTAACAAACGATTCAAAACAAGGTCACCTGAAATCGGTTAATGGTCAACCGTTTTCCGGTGGGTGTGTTGCGCTCCACTACGTAAGGCTTAGTGTCACTGTCAACTGTATGTGAACACAAAGTGGTGGGCGCTGTCGTTCTCTACCAATGACCTCGAGGAGCTTGAGAATGTGACCCTTTTGCCTGGGCATTGGGACTTGAATTATGAATCCGAGTTTACCTCGTGCCCGTTATTCATCCAATGCTTCATAATTACCGATACACCTGATGCGACCGGCACGTGTTCCATCCGTTTGAGGAGCCACATGGAGTGTGGTCACTCATTCAGAACTCTCGATTTCGATCAGTGCACCCAATATAGCCGATTCAGAGTCACAGATGAACATGTATAGGCAATGGAACATGCACTAGTTCGATGCTGGTGTCTTTACTGATAAAGTAAGAGTGGACCTGTAGACACAAGGAAGCATAACTCTGCTACATTCTGTGCCATTTTTTCCATGAAGCGCTTATTCCCTTAGTGGTGGGTTTCATGAGGAGGTCGCCTATGAAGGGTAGCTCAAGGAAAACCAATTTCTATTGAACCCGATCTCATTTCACCACTTTATGAACACTTTATGAACTGCAATGAATGGCCAGTAGATTGTAGCGCGTCAAATAGTAGTTCTTTTCTTCCAGTGTTTTTTGTGCAAAACATATATGAGCTCGATGGTACAAAGTTCGAACTAAACAGCACTTGTGAGGGATCGGTGAGAAACTCTCACAATGTAAGGATCGACCTGTACAGATCGCTTTCAGATAGACTGATTTTCTGATAGGACCATCTAGTCGTCCTGTGAGCAGTATGTCAAAATAAGAGTGCTCAGTTTCGCAAGTCACAGTAAGATTCTAGTGCGCACTAGTAAGTGCTTTGGTTGCAAGTATAATGCTTCCATCCAGATCCATGAATAAGAATATATCATCAACAAAGTGTTTATATAGAGTTACGGGCTTGATGATGTCTGCTTTATCTCCAATTATACCTATGGATATATCCGCCAGCAAAAAGCCCGATTGTCTGTATATAACAACACCATCGATCTGCGATTCCATATAAGTAAAACCTGACATCTTTTGTGCATAGAAAGGGCATGTTTTCAACTTTTCAGTAGAGGTCAGTAGTCGAATGTTGTGTTGCCTGATAAAATTACAACAGAGCTGGAAGAATTGTCTGATACATTTGTGTGAGATTTGTCAACTCGTTCCATTGTTTACTGCCCACCATGTGCGCGCTTGATGAGATCCCAAAAGCGTAATGACATGGAATATCTGATTCAGGCTTCATACTGTGACACTGTGTCTGGCTCCAAGTTTGGGTTGCAGTGACAGCTCATACGTGCTCAGAACTGCTCAAAGTCCATGTATACATGAACTCCTCCGATGTCCGTCATGTTCGAATGTAAGCTTCATCCTAATTTCACCACTAACTGATTTCGTCCAGTTCCTTGAAATCTTTGCGCCGTGCTAATTCGTTATTCTGAGTACGCAGCACTTTGGATTCATTTTCGCTCACAAACATGGCATGGAAGCAACCATCACTAGAGCAAAAATCTTTGTCCTTGAATAGCCAGTGCAACGATCACCGAGTTGGCCTGCTTCAGTTCACGTCTCCATAAGTAAACATATGTGAATTACCGCGGGTATATTATACCTCTGATCGTGCATCCGTTTGTGCATCACAACTAATCTTACATCCACCAGAACATTTTGTCTAGTGCAGGGGTACTCAGCATTAAAAACCAAAATAGCTAGGAGTGAAATAGTAAATAACCCAAAACACTTCGTGTGCTGTCTCATTCATTGAAATGATCGGGTCTTTTTAAACGGACTAATGCCCTGTTTGAGATCGCACGTGGCAAAACAGTCACGCGGTGTGTGAATTGTAAAGTACAGTCTTAATGCATCCTTCGCTACTCTTCAGTATATGGATATTTGCTAATTCCTATTGTGCACAAACATATGCATTGTAAAACACGCACATGACATTTGTTTATCCGCTTCACTGTGCTTAACTGAAGCACCGCTTTAGTGAATCATTGTCACACACTGCACCGTTTACTTGTTGTTCTTCTCATTGCTGACCTTGAGTGCATACTGCTGGAACTTCCTTAGCTTACTGCTGAGCAACACCTAGGCTATTCCTACAAATAAGAATATCAGAAGACGAAGATTGTGGGATGACATTGTCATTCATGCGTACTTGTCAAGCACGTACATGCAACTAACAAGGAATACAAAACAACGAGATGTTTCAACACTGATCAGCTCACAGAACAAACTACTAAATCCAACCAGACCGCTCACCTGAACTGAAGAATACCCACGTCGATAATTCTCGCCGTTTGTGTCTGAAAAATGAGAAAATGAGAATGATGACAGCAGGGAATACATCAGACATCTAGTACAGAAAAATAGTACGTGGCACTTGAGTCTGTCTTTGTTTAAATTAACCAATTCCTGAGATCTCCCCAATTTGTGGCCTACGGTAAGACGATCAAATAGAGCGGCTGTCTTCACCGACACTGTGGAGTTGCAGCATACCACTGAGGAATGCGCAAATCCTGATTATCGACAACAAGTAACCGCGTGGATTCAGAAGACAAAAGTACATGGTCAATCGGTAAACATCACTCTCAGACGGACACCCGATTCTACTGACAATCTAGAAATCACTACGAAAACTATCCTAACAGATACCTCTATATACTTTACGCTACGCTCCGAATAGTTTTGGTTGCATAATAAGCTCCAACGTGAAGCTACACTATCTCTCTCGCTTCATCCAATATGAATGACGTGTTTTCCTTGCGATCCTCTACAATCTGGAGTAGGACATTCGAGCAGAGAGGCTTATGCGCCATTTCTATCTGCAGCATCTACTTCAAGCATCGATACACTTTCCACTTGCGTAATTTGAAGTAGTTCCATTGAGTAATTACATGAGAGAAAGCGTTCCAAAAAGACATGCTCACGGCCACTTTCCCTCCGGAAAACGCCGGACGGCCATATTTCCATTATGGACTCTTCAGTAGTGCGCATTTTAACTCCTTAATGTGAGGCCAGAACGGTGTCACTACCCCTACCAACTGTCCTACTGATGACGGAGTGGTTCGGATGACTGGTTTGAAATCCAAGGGTCATCAGTGCGAATCTGCGTGGGCGCGTTCGATCTCGTGATATCTTTTGTCTATGCACAACTGATTGTGGTCGTGAAGCGGGGGTTGCTTAGGTCTTTTCCTACCAACTAGCTGCTAATCAGCTCGGACACGAAAGGTGGCAATACCGAGTGGTCTAACAGGTGGTTGTGAAATAGTGTGGTTCACCCCGCATCGCCATCCGCAGTTCCGATCTGACCGACACAAGAAGAGGGGACTGCTGAAGCTATCCCGGTGTTCCAAGAATACTCACCGTAGGACCTAGGAAACAAAGACTAGATGACATAACTGCCTTGTTGACGCACATGTCTTCGGTACAACACCTTTACACACAAATATCCCATGTAATGAAATAGATTGCCTCAGGCCTTCAGAAGTCCATCTTTGCTTCCAACATGTAAGATGCAACTAAAAGAACTGTTTCGTGTCAGTTGCGCAGACGAATGGGTGTAGAGAACAAGTCTGATAACATATAAGCACTTGCGGGATGCGGAATTAAAAAATACAGCTAAATATGGCGAGAAGGGCTTGTCGACACAATGTAAAATATAGTGTTCCCTTTTCATGAGCTTTCTTGCAAGATAACTTAGCTTTGTCTCTCATTCCTTCTTTCTACTTTGTCACATCTTTCGGTATTACACAAATTGATAACCCATCGGTGGCCTATGCAAACATTGGTGCAGCGATAGATTGGACAAGTGTGATCTATATTTGATTTTCCCTTAGTCTCTATTGTTATATTCGTCGTGTTAATCAGATTGATGACCCGTGGGTGACCTCTGAATACATGGGCATATCGACGAGTTGTATAAATGGTATTTATCTTCGGTTTTTCTTCATCTATACTGCTTTTTACTGTGCTACTAATTAGCTTGAAGTCCTATTAATGACATTTAAAATACATGCGCACATTGGTGGGTTGGATAAGCAAGCTTGTTCCTTAACCATCATATAGTGCATTTTTGCTATTACCCAGTTAGTTGAAAGCTGTGCGTGTGTGTAAGACATGGACCTATTGAAAGGGTGAATTGTTGATGGCTGCAACTAACCCACCAAATTTATGTTCGCAATCCTATTTGCCCTGTATTATTACACCTTACCTCTTGTGTGAGGTACGTCATTAATCCTAATTGATTTATGTTTCATGATAGATGCAGTCCTCAGTTTAACCGTTTGTCCTGTTAGCAAGTCTGCTCTAACACTTTCACTACTTAAAAGTATTGTTATATACCAACGTCATGAAGTTTAAATTATCTTTTCCACATACATATAGTCAATCACTTCCTAAAACGTTGTTAATTTACTATCTTCCCAACTATCCGCCTAAACGTATCGGAACGTTTTGCAATCGTCGTGGATTCTGAAGAATTTTGAAACGAAATCAATGGCGTAAGAATCAGTGGAATTGGAACCACAAGTGTACTTGTACAGTAATTTTGTACAGCCTTACTGCATTTTCTGTGTACCTCATGCTCCGGCCAGCTTATCTGGGCAGTGCCTCATCTAATTGAGAACATACCAAATGAGTTTAATCACTATCTCTAAAGGCGATGGTCAAAGGTCCGGGCTTCACACAAGGAGAAGGACACGGGCGTTAATGATGGATCCCGAAAGCTCAAAGTGGCATTTCAAGGCGTTTCCGGGGGTTTGGTGGATGTTTTATGCGCACATACTGATCAGGGCATTCAGCTGGCCTTCGCCTCCGTCGAGAAACACGCCGTTTATTTATTTAGTCGATTCGTATACTGTCTCCGAAACCGAGGTTACAGAGATCCGCGTTAAAGTGCATCGTGGTTCGAGCTGAATTACGTGCTTCAAAGCATTGACACAACGAGTATTACCAACACACGTTTAGCAGACAACCAAGAATTGAAGGCATACAATTTTATGGTGGTTGTATAATACAAAGAAGGTGACCTCATCAGGCTAATTTTAACAACACCGAATGCCTTCACATCGTTTTTCTTTTGGGCAAGACACTGTGAGTGAATTTCACTGCTCACTGCAGCATATCAGGAAGTAACAAGAAAAGTATGCTCTACTGGCTGTAATGATAAACTATTTTACATTATTATGGGTTAGTATATGAAGATACTCTAAAATTTACCAACAGACAAGACAACAAGTTATTAACATCTGGACTGTCTCAGGATTGTCTGTCTTAGGTTTCACTTCCTGCCAGCGGTGCCACTCGCCCCCAGTAAGCCACATCCCCGAACTCGTGCACTGTAACGTTTCCGGTGGAATTTCATTCGCACAACACCGACCTGATGTAATGTAGGTATGATAACAGGCCCACGCATCGTCTTGTAGCATAAAATCTGTATCTAACACCACTACGTGATCATAATTCTAGGGGCTTGCCTCGCATAGTCGAGAAGAAGGTTGATTCATTGATCCGTTTGTTGCTAAAGCCGCTACTTACTGCGCATCAGTAATATATGTGGTTAGCTGTCTGTTACCAGCAGTGCGCCGGAATGTCACACCGATGCTTCGCTGTCACGCTGCCTTCACGAATCGTTCATGGGTTAGGAATACCGCAAGGTAGTCCTCGCAGATTCGAACCAGTGACTTTTGGGTAACAAGTGGCAGCCGTGTGTCAGTCGACGACTGCTCAAGTGAGGAAATCGCGGTGGTTTGAGTGATGACACAGAGTTGGCTGAATTATGCAATGACTAATTGCGCCTCAGTGACCCATGGGATAAGAGAAGAGCAAGATATTAGTTTACGGAGGAAGAACCCAACTGAGCTTGGATACACAGGTGTGGTGACTAAGAGCGAATGAATCACAACGTAACCGCAGAGCAAAAGTTGATAATAGAGCACTCAGTAGCTTAAGAAATCACAACAAATTTCGCTGTGATGTGGACGAGACTAGTCATGGTGCCAAAAAGGCTTATGGGTACTAACGGCCACCAAACGGTAAAGTGGTATTCAAAGGTGTTGGCTTTGGAGGCGCGCTTACTGTCCAAGGTGTTGGCCAGCTGTTCCACTTGCTAGACATTGTTACTCCACTTGATAGTCAAATTTCACAAACCTTCAGCCAATACCAAGTACAGCAGAAGATTGATATGTCTACCAATGGTGGATTGGGCTGAAGCACAACCCGTTGATCATGTGCATTCAGTGTCGCCCAAGGGTTTGGAACTCCCTCCCACAAGCGTTGGATTAAGGTTCCGAGACACTCAGCAGGCCAATGATTACTCAAGGTTATTTTGTCAACAATGTTGAGCACGGTTGGTTGATTTGGTTTTTCCAAACCTCCACAAAATGGCAGTCGAACTAAAAGTCTGGAAGGTCCGAACTGCCATGTGTTTCCCGTAACCGATACAGGTACATACTTACCGTAGGCATCAGCAGTACGCCAACAAGCCGTACCGATGCTTCACAGCCGCGCAACCAGCACCAATGGCGCGATCACTAAGGATACTGCGATGGTCGGCTGGTCCCCTACGCAAGCTCGAAACCGCGACATCCGGGTTGCAAGAGAGACGACGCCTTGTCCTTTCGGCAACGGATCGGCAACTGGTTACTGTCCGGTCTTTTGAACAGGTCGCCGCGGATTCTCTGTTTCCATTCTGTCAATCGTGCAGATGTGCTGCGGACTGCAACTGGCTGGACAAATGCTAACGGAATCAATGTGCATAACCTCCAATCATGTGTGTCACATTCTTACGTTTGTTCCGCATGGGGTGAACCTAGTTCTTTTCGTTAGGTTCGCGCCATCCGGGTTACAGGGGTAAAGTGAAAGGTAAGTATACCGTGCGAACCACGAGACATCCTACTGTTGAATCCCTAAATGAAAAATTGCGCTAAGGCTCCTTGCGTCATTTATTTGGTGTTTCTCTGAAGATAATAAAATAAGATACATGGTCAGCCTCACGCCGTAACGACGCTTCGCTGCCGCGCGACCACCAGCAATTGCGTATGGGCTGAATATACTGCGAGAAGACTCGCCTCTACGCCGATTCGGACCGCTGGTCTTATGATTGCAAGCCAGGCGCGCAGACCGCTCGGCAACCGGCAGAGATGCAATCGTGATGAGCACATTTGTAATTTGCTTATATATGACGCGCCGTTTCGTGAAATGAATTCAACATTCAAGACAAGTGAACTTACTAGTAGACACGTCTTCCGTAGACTTTGGTCGGCGTCCCTTGAACGACGAATATTGCGCGTGCTACAAAAGCACAATGCATGCGGTTAGCGAAAAATGATTGAATGTAGAAGGGTGTTCGCCAAGCTTTGAACTCAACATTGGAACAAATGACAAAAATTGCCAGAGTATGTCTGATTGTTGCTCCTTTGTTACCCATCGATTGGGCCGACTTTGAGGTTTCTAGATACTGGTAATGAGCTTCTTGCTGTTCGTTTCAGATGCACCCTACCATGTCTGAATAAAACCAAAGGCTGAAGCATTTACCGGTAAAAAGTATCGTAATCCTACAGAATATTCGGCTTCAGAATATCCATGGAAGTCTGATGACCTAGACCAGCATCGCTCCACATCCCGTGAACAGTTAAACATTCGGTTGCTGGACGTCGCCGAGGAAACGCGTTGCTTTAAGTCAAGCTATGGAAATGGCTTCTGAAGAAAACGTTGCTGCCGTGAAAAAGATGATAATGGAAGATCTACAAACCACTGTATGTGAAGTAGTTCATACGTAGGGTGTTGGTGAGTCAACTAACGAAAGTATTATTCATCAATCTTTGCATATTTCCAATATATGTACGCTTGGTGACGATAATTTTTACCCTAGTAATGCAGGAAAACCGTCAGGAGATTTTGAATTCAGGTACAAAGACTGGGACCAATTTAGGGAACAATTAAGGTAGGTGCATGGTAGTTGGTTACGCCAATATGATCCTGAAAATAAGTGCAATCCAAGCAACAGAACCACCCAGATGTTCCATTGCTCAAACAGTTTATATGATAACGCAGTGTAAACAGAGTCACACACACACTTTTCTGGGACGCTGATGATTGCCAGTAATTGAGCATCAACCAGTCAAAATGAGGACTATTGGTGCCTTATACCGCTTACTAAATCCGATGATCGGGAGCCTGTACCAACGAACGTGGAGAGCTGGTGCTCTGATTGTCTATGATAGCGCACTACCTCACAAAGCAACAATATTACTGTCTGTTATCCGTAAATGTGGTTTTCACAATCTCACTCATGCAGCCTATTCTCACAATCTGGCTCCGTAGAACATTTCCCAGTTCTATTAACTGATATGTTCTTTAAAAGCTAAGTATTTTACTTCGGACAAACAATCGGGAGAGGCTATACGCAACTAGTTAGAGAAGTAAGAAAGCCATTTCAGAGGATTTGGAAAACATACAGTGTGGTTGCATTGCAACAGGCAATCTCTATTAAGACCTCGGTCAACTCTGAGGTAGACTTCGTCAGTGTAATCACAAGGACCATATCCGAAACATCCCAATGGAAGACAATTCCAGTTGAATGGTACAGAGCAAGCGTATCGCTGATATACAGAGTGTGCTGCAGTGTCGCGTTACATGTGCATAAAAGTAATGTATCCGGTATTACTATTATGATGATGATGATTATTATTATTATTATTATTATTATTATTATTATTACTTTAACCTGGCTACTGTGTGCTGTGCAAAAATTAGCCAATTTCCTTCTGATTCACTCAACAGAAAGCCAGTGTGACCAATCGTGTATTTTAGCAGATTCGCTTAAATTCCTCCTACTGACAACGTAGTTGGTCGGTCCTCACTTCCATAGCACCGCGGTATGGTTATTGGATCAGTGCTGGGTTTCAAGTTGCCCTAAATTATTTGAATTACTCATACTCGAACTCGAAGAGCCACAGCACGAAAGTACACACTAGGTGTTTTTATGGTTCGGTGGAATCAATACTGTGCTCACGTGTCTAGACCAGATAATGACACTGAGCAGTAACCATACAGCCAGGAAAAGGAGCTGAAGATAGAGCATAAACCAACATCGAATGCGTATAACAAACTGTTCAATCGGTGGTACAACTCACTCTCCAGCGGTGACGGTAAACATCACATATGTTACGCGAATGTGAAATAACCTAGTTCAGCAACCCGAGTAAGGAAGATACCAACCATATTATGATGCAACAGACCAACGAAATCCAAGCTACGTTAACTGAAACGTGGCGACAAAACATAGCTAGAATTGATTGCATAGTATAACCAGTAAGAATGTGTAGCCGACATTTTACACATCCGAGAGCAAAAGTGCTGGCTTGTTTTTACAATCTGGATATATTAGTTGTAGCCTTTTTATTTTCAGCCTGTGAAACGATACATCCGTAACTAGTACATTCCGCTAGCAGAACAACACAAAACCGTTATCCACATGCGCAGATTTACCTAATCTCGGTCAGTAGTTGACCAAGTATGATACAAGTGAAATATTCCCTCGAATTAGGTTACTTCGGTTCCCACGTTGTCGACATGTAAAAAGAGACTTCACAGTACCTGTTAGTCGGGAGATGATGAAACGCTGCCTAACAGCATAATCATTTGCTTTCTCCAAAAAATGCGATTACCTGTACATGCATCTCTGTTCACGTAGATGACGAAGTTAGTTCATCGACAGGAGGTTTAGTTGGTTAACACCCCTATCTTTGTCACCGCCATCCTTCCTTTTTTCTATGAGAACTAGTAAGCGTAGGTTGAACTATACTTCGTTGTGTAACCTAAAAGCTCTGAACATACTGGCTCCTGAGTCGGAGCGAAGATTAAAAGAACGCTGCACATACTTTATTAGTGAAGTAAACCAAACAGTGACGAATCAGCTGATTTACTTAGAAATTCGTCACATCTAGACTCACTCAGACAGCCGCCACACGCCCGGAAAAGTACCGTACGCGCGTTTCATCCTTTCGGGAATCGTCAGCTGTGCGCATACCATCCTACCCTCATCATCATCATCATTATACACGTTAGTTAGAGGTGGGAAAACACCTCCGCTATTGTGCCGCAATATATGAAAGAAAGACATACATACGTACATACATATAATACAATACACAAAGGAAAAACTAGACACAACAGTTGCTTGCCAGCTGAGCTACCAGGAACGAATAGGCATTGTTCCGGTAAGCTACCAGCCAGCTACTAAGCAAAAAGAAAAAATTATTATGTTTTTTCCTAAGAAATGAGATCGTAGTTGGAGGGGGAGGCTAAAAGGGATGGGGAGGGACAAAGAAACTCACAGCATGAACGCCACTGAGATCGGCTGCTTGCCATGTCAGCAAGTGTATCCAGCCAAACGTGTTCATCGTCTTTTGGGCCCCAACCAGGGAGCCGTGACGCTCCAACCGAGGCTAGCTCCGAAGTGAGGGACTTCATTCCCCTAGACCAAGTCATCGCTTGGCCACCTCTCCTCTTCTTCCACCCACACCTCCGGTGAGCAAACAACGCACGTCGAGGGAGTCGGTTGGCTGGCATGCGTAACACGTGGCCGAGCCATCGGAGCCTGGTGCGGGAAATAACGATGCTGAGCGGTTCAGATCCTTTTCCTGGGCCGTAAACAATGCGTCGAACACGCTCGTTACTCACGCGGTGTTCCCACCAGATGTGAGCCAAACTGCGAAGGCACCGATGATCGAACGTAACTAGCCTCTTCATGTCTGTCGATCTTGGGGGGCCAGGGTAGAACGTACCGCTGCATTGTACACTCTACACTTCAGGGCGAGAGTGATGTCGCGTCGCCACCATAGGTGGCGAAGGTTAGAAAAAGCACTTCGAGCTTTCGCTATACGGTTCGTGATCTCGTCTTCGATCCCAAGGGGGCTGATCCAACTTCCCAGGTAATTGAATTTCTGGACGACTTCTATCTGATCCCCACCAAGGGTCAGCGCAGGAGGCGATCCCTGCAAATCTTGGAAGAACGCTTTGCACTTCGATGGTGCAAAGCAAAGCTCGAAGCGGCTGACACTGAGTGCTAATCTGTCCAGCGCGGCTTGGCACGTCTGGGAGATGTCACAGATGACAGCAATGTCGTCTGCATACTCCAAGTCAAGAAGTCGTTCTCCTGTGAGTAGCTCCACACCTTCCAAGTCATGTCCTGTAAATGCAAAGTCCAAGGTGACAACGGGCACCCTTGTCTCACACCGCTGGAGATATTGAAGGGTGGCGACAGGTTTCCGTAAGCCCTCACTCTGCCCGTGCTACGCGCAAATAATGCTTGGATAATATTCACATATTTTTCAGGCACGCCTTTCTTGAGTAAACAATTCCAAAGGGCACAACGATCAACCGAATCGAAGGCACCTTTGATGTCGAGGAACACGACTACGGTGGGCCGCCAATATGCGTGACGGTGCTCCAACAACTGACGCAAGGTGAAGATGTGGTCGATGCAGCCACGATCCCGACGAAACCCGGCTTGCTCCTCACGAATCTGGCTTTCACTGGCGCCAGTCAGTCTGTGAAGAATTATGGAGGCGAGTAATTTGGAGGCGATGGAGATCAGCCTGATTCCTCTATGGTTGCCGCATTCCGAGCGTAAGCTGCCTTTGAAGATGGGAACAATAACGGAGCAGCTCCAGTCGGTTGGGACAGTCTCCTGCTCCCACAGTTTCACTAGTAATTCATGTAAAGCGTCAACAAAAGCAGAGCCTACGAATTTGTGGTGGGCTGGAGGAAGATCATCTGGTCCCGTGGCTTTGTTCAACTTCAACAGCCCGATCTCACGTTCGACTTCTGAGCAAGAGGTTGGATCCAAAGGAACAGCCCACGGAGCAGGGCGATCAGTTGCCGGCGAATCGAACAATTCCAGCCGATTAAAGTGCTTTTCAAAATGCTCAGTCCAAAGCTCCAAACGGTTTGACAAATTGTGGATAGGCTGTCCACTCTCATCACAAATTGTTTCACAAAACCAGGTCTTCTGCTGCCCGTTTCCCGTATCAGACGGAATAGCTTAAGATGGTTGCCAAGGGCAGCGGCAACTTCCATCGTTGACGCACGATGAGACCACCAAGATTCGCGGTCTCTCTTCAGGCTAGCACGGAGTTTTTCCCGGAGCTCTTTGCGAGTTTCATTGTGCTCGCTTCCAGCCGGGATATGCCGGCGAGCATGGATAAGTTCCAAAGACCGAGAAGAGACCCAATGTTCATGTTGGCTATTAGATATACCACATGAGGATTTGCCCGCTGCTAGTAAGG